AGCTGTGATTTGAATTTAGGTCTCTGACTACATCATAAAGTGAGAAGCTATGATTTGAATTCAGGTCTCTGACTACATCATCAAGTGAGGAGCTGTGATTTGAGTTCAGGTCTCTGACCACCAGTGCCATGATCCCCCTGTTCTGTTTTACTACCTTCCGACATGAGTTGAGCCACCCCAGCCGGCCAGGACAAGGAGTGCTGGGCCATGACTCCTTCCAGTGGGAAGAAAGGACAGTGCAGGGCCAGGCAGAGAACCTTGTGTGTGCCGCCCCCTACCCACCCCATTTTACTCAGGAGAATTCAGCTTGAATGAGGGAGGTGGTAGAGCATGCTGGGAGTCCCTAGGTGGTGCACTGGTTACCTGAAAGATTGGCACAGAGGCACCTCAGAAGAAAGGCCTGGCAACCCCCATTGAAAACCCAGCGGAGCACAGTTCTTCTCTGGCACACGTGGGGTCACCATGAACTGGTGTTGACTTGATAGCAACAGGTTTTTGGTTTTTTAGAGCATGTTTAGCGGTCAGGGGCTCCACCACTTGCTGGATTTGTAGTCCTGGGCAGGGCATTTAACATCTTTAACGCTCAGAGGATAATTATTCCTACCTCAAACGGTTGCTGAGAAGATGGGAAGCGTTTATTCAGCAAAGTGAATGCCTTGTTGAATGGTTGTGGTGGTTGTAGGTCTCTGGGTGGTGCAAACAGTCTGGGCTAGACTACTAACCTACAAGTTGGTGGTCCGAACCCACCCAGTAGTGCCGTGGAAGAAAGGCCTGGCAATCTGCTTTGGTGAAGATGATAACCAAGAAAACCCTATGGAGCAGTTCTTCTCTGTAACACAGGGGGTCACCATGAGTTGGAATCAACTCAAAGGCAGCAGGTTAGGTTAGGGTTAGGTGGTGGGTGTTAGCTGCTCGAGTTGGCTCTGACTCATCATGACTGTATTCACGAGGGGATTGGACCGTTGTGATCCAGAGGGTCTTCATTGGCTGGTTTTTCCGAAGTAGATTGCCAGGCCTTTCTTCCTAGTCTGTTGTAGCCTGGCGGCTCCGCTGACAGATGGGTGGTGGCTGCACTTGAGGCGCATTGGCCAGGAATTGAGCCCAGGTCTCCCCACGGAAGGTGAGGATTCTACCGCTAAGCTGCCACTGCCTTCCGTTAAATAGTAGCTGCTATTATGATAATAAAACGGCAGGCTGGGAGAGGAAAAGAACTTACAACAGGCCACCGTATCCTTGCTTACAGGTGTGAGCGTGAGTGCACAGTCAGCTGAGGAGTCCAGGGTTGCCTTACGTTTATAAAGCAGAGACGTGGGTCGTCTGGGGAGTTTTCTCCTTCTCCCCCAGACCGGCTGCCTCTCCGTTCTGCACTGTGCCCTCAGCGTTTTGGGTAAACCACTCTAGAACACATACCCCATTTTACTGGCCTTCTAAAGAATTTACATGTTGCTCCCCCAGTGGCTGAACTCCTAGAGGAATCTCCCCCTCCACCTGACCCTGGAGTGAGTAAATCAAGGACTCCCCCAAAGCCCCGGTTTTCAACAATATCACTGATGGCCTGCCTTTTCAAGCCAGCTTGGGATTCTCTCTTAGAGCCTGGAAGGCTGGATTTCTGAATCCCGAGCCAGCACAGGCCCTCACGGTTTGCACGGGACCTGTTTACTTTTGGTCCTGGCCTATTCCTGCTCTCCACACGTAGGGGCTCTGGGCAGGGTCTCCCCCAAAGTGCAGTCCAGACCCTCTGAAAGTCAGCTAGGAAGCTAGTAAAATGCTCATTTTGGGGATCATGGGAGCAGGTTGCTGAAACCCACAGTTGTAATAAACTTCTCCAGGTGATTCTGATGCACGATAATATTTGAGGGCTTAACAATGTCCGAGGCAGAAATGAAGCCCTTACTTTAGGCTGGCCTCTATTTCTTCTGGATCCGAAAGCGCTCAGCAGCCTTCCAGAAGTGGGAGGTCTAGTGTGGATATTTGACAGTCTGTGAAGGATATCCAGGAGGCACAAACGCTTAAAAACCAACACATAAAAACACACACAGCCTTAACTAGAGATTCATTCAGGTTACAGAGTTCCTTTGTTCTAAAATTCAAGAGCCTTTGGGCAGGGTTCCACCTGCCTTGTAGTAAATCTCATTAATGACACAATGCTGTCTTCTTCCTGATGTTTGAGGCCAGCACTGTGAGAACTGAGGGTGGTGACAGTGGTCGATCTGAAAATGTGGGGAGAAGAATCCTCTGTTTGATTGTGTGTAAGCACGTTTCAGCTGGGAGAGAGGAGAGTATGGTAAAGTGAATGGATGGGAGATTGGGGAGTCTGGAAGGGTCATCGGGCGTGGGATATGACAGGAACAGGGGCAGGTGGGGTCTGATGAAGGGCAGGGGATGTGCGTTGAGGTGGGTGTCAGGACGGGAACAGGTCAGGTCTGATGAAGGGCAGGGGATATGCGTTGAGGTGGGTGTCAGGACGGGACACCTGGGATCTCATGAAGGGCAGGGGTGTGTGTTGAGGTGGGTGTCAGGACGGGTGGGTGGAAGGGTGCACTTGGAGAACATGACTGACCTAACGGGGGTTTTAGCCCAGTGCTTCGTTCCCTGGCCCGGCTGAAGCCCACCATGACCCTGGAGGAGGGACTGCCGAGGGCCGTCCAGGAGTGGGAGCGCACCAGCAACTTTGACCGGATGATCTTTTATGAGATGGCAGAAAAGTGAGTCCCAGGAACCCTCGTTCTCCTGAGGGGGGCAGTGTGGCCGAGAGCAATGAGGGGCAGTGGAGAGAAGCTTGTGTCTGGTAGATGTTAGAAGAAGGGGTGTAGGTTAGGGTAGAGGCTCCTGGATCCTGGAAGGCTTTATCCTCTCCCCTCACATTGCTTCTTCCACTGCCTTCACTCCTGGGTCTTTACATCCCGTCTTCCCTTGGAGGTTCCCCCTCCTCTGGGTCTTGAGTCAGTATGATATTGAAGGTCTTTGGATGGGGCTGGGGAGCCTGATAGGTGTGAAAATCCCATGATGTCAGAGGGACTAGCAAGGAGGAGATGGGCTCTACTAGGCAGGTCCTTCCTGCCCACTGTCCAGGTGGCAAGTGGCTATCAGTGTAGAACCTTGGCTCTGCTCCTCCTTGGAAACAGTGGCACAGAAATGGTTTACCTCGTCCTGCCGGGGAGGGGCTGGTCTGGGACGGGCTGGCGACGGGAAGCCAGGTCCTTGAAGCCCTGAGTGGTCTTCTGGCTCTTCTGCCCCCATGATCTCCTTGGTTAAAAAAAATAACTCAAAGGAAAATGAACCCTTTCTTCCAAGCTTAGCTTCCACTTTCTCCCCATATTCTTCTGAACCAAATCGTCCCAGCTTTACCCTTCCAGGGCCCTTGTCCTAGACGGGTGACTCTTGGATCTGAGCACTGCCTCCTGGTGGGGACTTCCTAGAATTGCAGCCCTGGCTCCTTCCTCAGGATTTCAGCCATCCTTTGTGGTTGTAAGGAGCCCAGTTGGTGCAGTGGTTAAGAGCTTGGCTGCTAACCGAAAGGTCGGTGGTTGGAACCCACCAGCCTCTCCAAAGGAGAAAGATGTGGCAGTCTGCTTCCATAAAGAGTACAGCCTTGGGAAACCCCATGGGGCAGTTCTACCCTGTCCTGTAGGATCGCTGTGAGTCAGAATCGACTCCACAGCACTAGGTTTGGTTTGGGTTTTTGTGATTGTAGGCTGGGGCAGATGAGGCCTTAAGGAGGGGTCCTGCCATGCTGCCCCCCACTGATTTAATCCACTGAGCCTGTGTTAGTGTGGTGGTAGCCACCCATGATGCTGGGTGAGACAGGGCTCAGGAAAAAAGCGAAAGCTACCGTCTGTTCCGGAGAAGGTTACAGGCTCTAGATAGTTCATTTTCTTAACAAGCATCCTAAGTGGTGACGGCAGCTGAAGGGCCGATATGGTGACCCTCCTGGGTGATGTGACTTAGGCAGCACTTTGCCCAGCTCAGGACACTTCTTTCTCAGCTGTGTGACTGCTACCTGGTGTCTGGGCTCCGGATGGGTCTGGCTGCCTTCTCAGCACTGCTCATGCCTTCCTCACCCTCTGCAGGTTCATGGAGTTCCAGGCTGAGGAAGAGGTGCAGATTCAGAATGCGCAGCTGTTGAATGGGTCCCAATGCCTGCCTCCCGCAGCCCCTCTAAAACTCGATCCTCTGGCGCCCCCAGCCCCTGAGATTTGCCAGCGGCCAGGTATGGCTGCCCAATTCCAGAAGGAGCTGGAGGCCAGACGCTCAAAGGGAGGCATGCAGAAACCAGTCAGTTTAGGGAAGGCATTGCCCTCGCTTCTGCCACTTTTCCTCCAGGGAGTGGTATTCAATTGTTTCTGACAGGACATTCCATAGGAGTCTGGTCTCTCAGGTTTCCATTGTCCCCAGCTAGCTATTGATCCTGGCCAAGTAAACCAGCTACTCTTTTCACTTGAATGTCAAATGGGGCCACAGTACCTAATCTGTCTGAAAAATGGGGGCTGGATTAGGGGATTTCTTGGAGTTTCAGGAGTTCTAAGATTCCTCATTCTGTGATTCTCTCTCACACCCTCCAATTCCTAAGTCTTCTCCCATGGCTGGTATTCAGGTTGGCCTGACCCAGCCTGGAACCATCTCATGGCACCCAGGTGCCCTTACAAACAGGGCTGGGCAGTGGAAGCTATAGGTTCTCTGCCACTTGGCCTTTCTCCTTTCCACCTTTTCCCTAAGCGTACGTCCCAAAGAAGGCAGTCTCCAAGACGAGGGCCCCTCGCCGGCGGCAACGCAAGTCCCAGAAGCCTCCAGTTCCTGAGGCACCCAAGGAGATCCCCCCGGAAGCGGTTCAAGAGTATGCTGACATCATGGAAGGGCTGTTGGGGAGCCACTCAGCCACTGGGGAGTCAGATGGACACCGGGAAGAGGAAGAAGAGCAGCAGCAGGAGGAGGAAGGGATGTACTCAGATCCAGGTCTCCTGAGCTACATCGATGAACTGTGTTCTCAGGAAGTCTTTGTTTCCAAGGTGGGCTGTGCCTGGAGGTCTGGTTTCTGGCACATCATCGGGGTGGGCACTCCTGGGAACCAAAGATCTGGGGTTCTTCCCAAAGCAGTTAGGGACTAGGCTGTATCCTGTAACTCCCGAGAAGTGTGTATGTGTGCGACCGTGCACACACACAGATGTGTGTAGCTGGTGGTGGTGATGGTGTATGACAACCGTGGGTGGGGAGTGGGGAGCTCATGGCTTCTTTTCGAGAGCCTGTAGACTCACAGGTTACCTCCTGTCAAAGGTTCTGACATCACTCTTCTGTTACCCAGGTGGAGGCCATCATTCACCCTCGATTTCTAGCAGATCTGCTGTCCCCAGAACAGCACAGGGACCCCTTGGCCTTATTCGAGGAGCTGGAGCAAGAAGAAGGGCTAACTCTCACTCAGGTAAACTTGGGAGGTAGGGTACATCAGAACCAGATGCCAGCATGGTTGTATCTACCCCTGCACTGTCTTGGATGGTATGGCTTCAGGAGAACAGTCCCAGGATTGGGGTTCAGTGCCGAACAAGTAGGTAGGGGACCATGGAAAGGCAGGGAAAGCCCAGGAATCGAGCCCCCGAGGGTGGAAAGAAGAGCTACAGCATCTCTTGACAGCATCACTTAAGCCAGCTGCTTGTCTTTCTGCCCTGCCCAAATACCATCTCGCCACCACCCACTCAGCCACCTCTTCTCAGTCATGTAGAAAACGGGTATTTGTCCATTTCCCTCCAGCTGGTACAGAAGCGACTCATGGCCTTAGAAGAGGAGGATGCAGAGGCGCCTACAAGCTGCAGTGGAGCTCACTCGGACTCCAGTCCTTCTGTTTCTGATGAGGATGAAGATGGGGTTGGGCGGCTTCGGCCCTCATCCGGGCCTCGGGTGTCTGGGGGCACCGTTCGCCCCGGAAAGGCTGCTTCTCCAGGAAAGCGGGCAAGGGAAGGGCATGGGGGGCAGGAGCGAGCCCTGGATGGCCCGAGGGGGATGCGCAGGGATGGGGACACTCTGCCATCCCCCAACAGCTGGGACCTGCAGCTAGAACTAGCACAAGGCACTTGGGGACCCTCGGGCACAGAGAGGAGAGGGTCTGAGAAGGTTACAAACCAGATACCCCCGCATCTGGAGGGCCATCTGGGAGGCGCAGTGTCCCCTGGGCACTCCCTGGTGGCTGATGGCACTTCAAAGGCCCTACCCCTTTGCTGGCAGGAAGACCCCCAGCTGGAGGGAGTTCCCTGTTTGGAAGGTGGACTTGCCCAGCCAGCTTCTCTGCAGAGTCAGGGGTTAGAAAAGCGGGTCCTGGAGCTTCAGACAGGACTGCAGACGGGGGATGTTGGAGCGCTTCAAGGGAAGGAGCCTTTAGCATCGACCCAAGAAGGCTCTCCAGGAGCCATGTGGGGAGATGACGGAGACCCTCTGATGGCCCAGAGTTATGCTCCGGACCCTTCCCCTGGAACAGCTGGAGACACCGATGGGGCCCTTCTCAGTCCAGAACTTTGGCTGAGCAGTGATATAGATGCTGTAGGCTTGGAGCTGCCCTTAGAAATTGAGGAGATCATAGAGACCTTCCAAGATGGGGAATGTGTAACCGAGCACCAGGGAGGCTGCGAGGCGCTGGGCTCTGGTAGCAACATCTCTCTGTGCCTTGGAGAAACCACACTGCCTGGGGATGTGGGGCGCAGTGCACTTCCCTGTGGAGACACCGATGCCATGGCTGCTTCAGAAAAGAGCAACCACTGCAGCTTGCCGGGATCTCTGAGCGCCAGCAGCCCTGCCTTGAGGCTCAAAGAAGATAGTGAACACAACCCGGAGACGGCTCGGGACCCGAGTGATCTGTGGGCTGAAGGTTGTGCTCTATTGCTGGAGAGCAGAATTGATGCCCCTACACTGGGGTCTTCCAAAGAAACCCTCCTGCCAGCATGTCAAGGCAATATCCTTATCCTGGGGACCCAGGATGCCTCCTCCTTCCCTGAGGCCAGCAAAGGTGCAGGGAGCAGAGGCAATTCCATCTCTCCTCTGTTGGAAACCACAGAGCATGTCAGCCTACTAGATGTTGGAGATAGCCATGGCCTCCAACTGGGGGAGGTCAGAGAGGATACTCATCTATCAAAACCAAAAGACCTTGCTCCCTCAGTAGGAACCCCCAAATCAACATCTCCTCACCAGGGCCTTGGAAGCTCTCCCCCTAGATTGGGAACTAGGGATGCCTTAGTTCTGAGGGAGACGTCTCCTGGAAGCGAAACACGCAGCTCAGCAGATGGGGCCAGCAAAGAGAAAGAGGAGGATGAGGAAGATGAGGAACTCTCTAACTTTGCCTACCTCTTGGCCTCTAAACTCAGCCTGTCACCAAGAGGGCTTCCCCTCTGTCCTCGCCCCGCCTCAGGCCTGCCCTCTGTAGGTCAGGGGGTCAAGAAAGCACTCCACTCCCTTTCTGCTGAGGTAGGAAGTCTCGGCCCACCTCCACATCCTGTTGCCAAATCTGGGAAGCGAGCTCTAGTTAGAGGTCCAGCACCTGTTAAAAAGAGGCCCCACCCAGGAGCTGGCCTTGGGGTCTCTGGGGAGAAACCATTGGCTCTAGTTGTTCGCCCCTCACAGCCTCGTAAAAGGCGGCGTGACAGTTTTGTCACGGGGAGAAGGAAAAAGCGACGCCGTAATCAGTAGTGAGTGGGAGGACCATCCTCTTCCACCTGCCAATCCTGTGGGGGCCCAGAGCAGACTTCACCCCTACCACATACGCAGACTCTTTCTTGGCCAAATTTGTTTTGTTGTTCTACAAAAGCGATGAGGGTGGGGATGTTAGACTCACTAGGGTGGAGATGGTCCCCTTGGCAGGAGATTAGGGGAAGTACCTCTGGAAGGAGTTGTATGGAAAAAAATGAATAAAAGATGTTTTTGTTGGAAAATGACCTTCTGCACTCATGTCTTTGTTGCTAGGTGGATGGGTTAAGACACTATAAAAGAATGAGGTGAGGGTTTTCCCGGGTTCTCTGAATCTAACTTTCCTTGACTCCAACCGCATCCTGGCTTCTTGCAGTCTCCTCCTGGGAATGGAGTGGCCTGCAGCCTATGATGAGCTCCAGCACTGTTAAGTCCCTAGCCATTGCTTTTTTCATCTTCAGGCCCAAACTTGGTTTTGGGAGGCCTTCTCTGGACATCCCATAATTTTCCATCTCTCTTAAAGTCTATAGATGGAGAGATGCTTTGGTACCTGTCAGGTTTCTAGGGGATGCACGTTTCTAAATTTAATTTTCCATGATTGTGTCTAGATATGGCACCTTTAAGGCAGGCCTTGTTTTATCCTTCTTTGAAGAGACTGGACAGACGTAAGTTCAGTGATCCTCAGCTAATCCAGCGGCAGAGAAACCCTCCTGTGTGGCTGGCCCGACCTGATGGGGAGCAGGCTTGTTTCTCGTTGACGTAGCTTTCTGTTCTCACTACAGGAGACACGTCAAATCTCAGTAGGATTATTAAATATAGTATGGTAGCTAGCTATTTTTTCATCTCTAATGAGGACAGAACAAGAAGGAATGGGCTGAAAGAGGTTCACAAGAAGGCTGTTAAAATACGTATATGTAACGACAACAGAGGGAAGAGTATGAAATGTGTTTGCCTGATTGTTGGGCGAGAAAGAGCCCCGGGCAGCTGGGAGCCAGGAGACTGACCTTGAACTCCTCCCGTGGGCATCCTGCAACCCTTCATCTCCTCTCTTCCCAACTACTGAGACCATCAGTATGACTGAGCTTTGTATTTTTTTAATAGATATATATATATTTATATATAAAATAGTTTCTTACAAAAAAAAAAAATCAAAACCAACTTAAAACAACGACAAAAACTCAGAGAGGAGCAGAGGTGGGTGAGGCACGGGGTGGCCCTGGCGCTGCCCGGAGTCTGCAGGCCGGGTGCCAGCTGGGGGGAGGCGGCGAGAAGGGCCCAGGCACTCAGTCGCCCTTCTGCTTGGGCGCCTGCGCGGTCCCGTTGGCCAGAGCAGTGGGGCCGCCGGGGGATGAGGCCTTTGACCGCTGCGGGGTGCCACGAGGGGCGTGTGGGAGGCACAGGTAGGTGCTGAAGACCTTCCCATAGAGGGGGTCACGGAGGGAGAAGTCCTGGAACTGACCTGGGCAAATGAGAGTGAGGTGGGGAAGAATAAAAAGATGTCAAGAGGGGAGGCTGCCCCGCTCTTCTGCAACGTCGTCCCCTCTCCGATCCAGGTGCGTCCTTCCTGCCGTTCCAGCCTCCTGTCTCGGGCACGCCCCCAGCACTGCCCCTAACCCTCCCTCCCTCCCCGCCCACGGTGCCCTTGTGGGGCAGGAAGGCAGCGACTCACGGAGGGAGAGGCCCTGGAGGGAGAGGCCCTGGCCGGGGCCCGCCTGGCACAGCTCCCGGCACAGCTCGGCGTGCAGAGTGGCCGCGGCGGGGCGGGGCGAGCCCAGTAGCAGGTGCAGGATGGAGCTGAAGCCGTCCTGGTGGAGCAGGCGGCCGCGCCCCTCTGCTTGCTCTTCGGCGAAAAGCTTGGGAGAGAAGAAGAAACCCATCGGGCCTCGCCTCACGACCCCAAGTCAGGCACCAATGTCCCCGCCCCCCCGTCACGCATCGCCCGCCCACGC